GCCCGTGAGGGGCTCGCAGAGCCTAAAGGCTCACATGTTCAGGAGCGCGCTGTCAAGTTTGTCGCATAGACTCACACGGAGACACGTAGACTCATCACAGAGATGCATAGACTCACACAGAAACCCATAGACTCACACAGAGACCCACATAATCATCACAGAGACGCATAGACTCACACAGAGACCCATGGACTCACACAGAGACCCATAGACTCACACAGAAACCCAAATACTCACACAGAGACCCATAGACTCACACAGAGACCCATAGACTCACACAGAGACCCAAAGACTCACACAGAGACCCATAGACTCACACAGAGGCCCAGAGACTCACACAGAGACACGTAAACTCATCACAGAGATGCATAGGCTTACACAAAGACGCATAGACTCACACAAAGAACCACTCAGAACAAAGTCCCGCAGACTCACAGAGTTATCCATGGACTCAAACAGAGACCCATAGATTCACACAGAGACCCATAGACTCACAGAGACCCATAGACTCACCACACAGAGACCCATAGACTCACCACACAGATACCCACAGACTCACCACAGAGAGACCCATAGACTCACCACACAGAGACCCATAGACTCACCACACAGAGACCCATAGACTCACCACATAGAGACCCATAGACTCACACGGAGACGCATAGACTCACACAGAGACACGTAGACTCATCACAGAGATGCATAGACTCACACAGAGACCCATAGACTCACACAGACACCCATAGAATCATCACAGAGACGCATAGACTCACACAGAGACCCATAGACTCGCACAGAAACCCATATACTCACACAGAGACCCATAGACTCACACAGAGACCCATAGACTCACAGAGAGACCCATAGACTCACACGGAGACCCATAGACTCACACAGAGACACGTAGACTCATCACAGAGATGCATAGACTCACACAGAAACCCATAGACTCACACAGAGACCCACAGAATCATCACAGAGACGCATAGACTCACACAGAGACCCATGGACTCACACAGAGACCCATAGACTCACACAGAAACCCAAATACTCACACAGAGACCCATAGACTCACACAGAGACCCATAGACTCACACAGAGACCCAAAGACTCACACAGAGACCCATAGACTCACACAGAGACACGTAAACTCATCACAGAGATGCATAGGCTTACACAAAGACGCATAGACTCACACAAAGAAACCACTCAGAACAAAGTCCCGCAGACTCACAGAGTTATCCATGGACTCAAACAGAGACCCATAGATTCACACAGAGACTCATAGACTCACACAGAGACCCATAGGTTCATACAAAGACCCATAGGCTCATCACAGAGACGCATAGACTCACACAGAGAAGCATAGACTCACACAGAGAAGCATAGACTGACAACAAAGACCCATAGACTCACACAGAGGCCCATAGACTGACACGCAGACCCATAGAATCACAGAGAACAATGGACTTCTTACACAAAGACCCATAGACTCACAGACACCTATAAACTCACACAGAGACCCATATACTCACAAATACCCATAAACTTCTTACAAAGAGACCCATAGACTCACAGATACCTATAGACTCACGCAGAGACCCATACTCACACAAAGTCACACAGCCTCCTTACACAGAGACCCATATACTCACATAGACCTATAGCCTCACGCAGAGACCCATACTCACATACACACCCATAGACTCCTTACACAGAGACGCGTAGACTCACACAGAGACCCATAGACTCACACAGAGACCTATGGACTCACACAGAGACCCATAGGCTCATACATAGACCCATAGACTTATTACAAGGGCGCATAGACTCACACAGAGATGCATAGACTCACGCAGAGACCCATTGACTCATCACAGAGACGCATAGACTCACACAAAGATGCATAGACTCACAGATAGACCCATAGACTCACACGGAGAGCCATTGCCTCACACAGAGACCCATAGACTCACACAGAGATCCATAGACTCACACACAGACCCATAGACTCACAAAGAGACCCATAGACTCACACAGAGGCCCATAGACTCACACACAGACCCATAGACTCATACAGAGACCCATAGACTCAAACAGAGACCCATAGACTCACACAGAGATCCATAGACTCACACACAGACCCATAGACTCACACAGAGACTCATAGACTCACATAGAGAGCCATAGACTCACACACAGACCCATAGACTCACACAGAGACCCATATACTCACACAGAGACCCATGGACTCACACAGAGACCCATAGACTCACACACAGACCCATAGACTCATACAGAGACCCATAGACTCACACAGAGACCCATAGACTCACACAGAGATCCATAGACTCACACACAGACCCATAGACTCACACAGAGACTCATAGACTCACATAGAGAGCCATAGACTCACACACAGACCCATAGACTCACACAGAGACCCATATACTCACACAGAGACCCATGGACTCACACAGAGACCCATAGACTCACACACAGACCCAGAGACTCACACAGAGACCCATAGACTCACGCAGAGACCCATATACTCACACAGAGACCCATAGACTCACGCAGAGACCCATATACTCACCCAAAGACCCATAGCCTCCTTGCCCAGAGACCTATAGACTCACGCAAACTCCACTCACTCACTCTGTAGAACAGGAGGAGATCACACAAAATCCACTCACTCACTCTGTAGAACAGGGAGAGATCACACAAAGTCGACTCACTCACTCTGTAGAACTGGGGGAGATCACACAAACTCCACTCACTCTGTAGAACAGGGGGAGATCACACAAACTCCACTCACTCACTCTGTAGAACAGGGGGAGATCACACAAACTCCACTCACTCTGTAGAACAGGGGAGATCACACAAACTCCACTCACTCTCACTCTGTAGAACAGGGGGAGTTCACACAAACTCCACTCTCTCACTCTGTGGAACAGGGGGAGATCACACAAACTCCACCCACTCTGTAGAACAGGGGGAGATCACACAAACTCCACTCACTCTGCATAACAAGGGGCGATCACACAAACTCCACTCACTCACCCACTCTGTAGAACAGGGGTAGATCACACAAACTCCACTCTGTAGAACAGGGGGAAATCACACAAACTCCACTCACTCACTCTGTAGAACAGAGGGAGATCACGCAAACTCCACTCACTCACTCTGTAGAACAGGGGGAGATCACACAAACTCCACTCACTCACTCTGTAGAACAGGGGGAGATCACACAAACACCACTCACTCACTATAGAGCAGGGGTAGATCACACAAACTCCACTTACTCACTCTGTAGAACAGGGGGAAAGATCACAGAAACTCCACTCACTCACTCTGTAGAACAGGGGGAGATCACACAAACTCCACTCACTCACTCACTCTGTAGAACAGGGGGAGATCACACAAACTCCACTCACTCACTCACTCTGTAGAACAGGGGGAGATCATACAAACTCCACTCACTCACTCTGTAGAACAGGGGGAGATCATACAAACTCCACTCACTCACTCTGTAGAACAGGGGGAGATCACACAAACTCCACAAACTCACTCAGTAGAACAGGGGGAAATCACACAAACTCCATTCTGACCCTCGTTTTTGAGGTCATGAGCGTCACCCCGCCGCCGACACCCTGCCTCGAAATAATCTGGGTTCACATTTTGGCTTTCGGATTTTCTACACAGTCCAGAACATTACTTGATTTCAAATGACTCACCCAGCTCTCTATCCCTTCTAGACCACCACTACAATTCACATCACTCAGCTCTCTATCCCTTCTCGAACATCACTAGAATTCACATCACTCAGCTCTCTATCCCTTCTAGAACATCACTAGAATCCACATCACTCAGCTCTCTATCCCTTCTAGAACATCACTAGAATTCACATCACTCAGCTCTCTTGCCCTTCTAGAACATCACTGGAATTCAGATCACTCAGCTGTCTGTCCCTTCTAGAACATCACTAGAATTCACATCACTCAGCTCTCTGTCCCTTCTACAACATGACTAGAATTCACATCACTCAGCTCTCTATCCCTTCTAGGACATCACTAGAATTCACATCACTCAGCTGTCTGTCCCTTCTACAACATCACTAGAATTCACATCACTCAGCTCTCTATCACTCACCACCACCACTCACCACCACTCAACACCACCACTCACTCACCACCATTCACCACCACTCACCACCACTACTCACCACCACCACCACTCACCACCACTCACTACCACCACTCACACACTCACAATCACCACTCACACACTCACTCACACTCACCACTCACACACTCACTCACTCACACACTCACTCACCACTAACTCACCACTCACTCACACACTCACTCACACACTCACTCACACACTCACTCACCACTCACTCACACACTCACTCACCACTCACACACTCACTCACCACTCACTCCCCACTCACTCACACACTCACACTCACCACTCACACACTCACTCACTCACACACTCACTCACACACTCACTCACCACTAACTCACCACTCACTCACACACTCACTCACACACTCACTCACACACTCACCACTCACTCACACACTCACTCACACACTCACTCACACACTCACCACTCACTCACTCACCACTCACTCACACACTCACTCACACACTCACACACACACTCACTCACCACTCACTCACTCACTCACCACCACTCACACACACACTCACTCACCACTCACACACTCACCACTCACACACTCACACACTCACTCACTCACCACTCATTCGCTCACCACTCACTCACCACTCACACACCACTCACCCACTCACTCACACACCACTCACTCACTCACACACTCACCACTCACTCACTCACACACTCACACACTCACTCACTCAATAACCACTCACTCACACTCACCACTCACACACTCACACACTCACTCACACTCACCACTCACACACTCACCACTCACACACTCACACACACACTCACAACTCACTCACCATGTACTCCATGTTGGAGGCGGCCGGGCTGACGAAGGCCCTCAGCTTGTTGTGCATGGCCACGATGCCCGCACGGTCCACCTCGCTCAGATAACGTCGCCTGCGCGAACTCCCCGCGGCGCGGCTCCACCTCGAAGCGTTCCTCCCGCTCGGACGCTGCTCCCACTGTCTAGCCCCCGGCGCTTGCCCGAGGCGACCCCACGCCGTGTCAGCCACGTGCAGCACGTGTCCGGCGAGCGGCCACGTGGACGACGACGACGACGAGGAGGAGGAGGAGGAGGACGAGTTCGCTGGTGATGCTGCCACATCACCTTGACGACGGTGATGGTGGTGCTGGTGGTGGTGACGGTGGTGATGGTGGTGGTGGTGATGGTGGTGGTGATGCCCTTCCGAGATGGGCAGCTGACCGGCACGGGCGCAGCGAGGGGGCAGCCAGGGCAGGGAGAGCAGCAGGAAGAGGGGCAGCAGAAGAGCTCCGTGCCAGGGCAACATCGTGGTGGTGGGGGTGGGGGTAGTGGTTGGTGGTGGTGGTGGTGGTGGTTGGTGGTGGTGGTGGTGGTTGGTGGTGGTGGTTGGTGGTGGTGGGGGTGGTGGTTGGTGGTGGTGGGGGTGGTGGGGGTGATGGTGGTGGTGGTGGCGGTGGTGGTGGTTGGTGGTGGTGGGGGTGGTGATGGTGGTGGTGGTTGTGGTGGTGATGGTGGTGGTTGGTGGTGGTGGTGGTGATGGTTGGTAGTGGTGATGGTGGTGGTGATGGTGGTGGTGGGGGTGATGGTGGTGGTGATGGTTGGTAGTGGTGATGGTGGTGGTAGTGGTGGTGGTTGGTGGTGGTGGTTGGTGGTGGTTGGTGGTGGTGGTGGCGGTGGTGGTTGGTGGTAGTGGTGGCGGTGGCGGTGATGATGGTGGTGGTGGTGATGATGGGGGTGGCAGCAATTGTGGTGGTGGTTGGTGGTAGTGGTGGTGGTTGGTGGTAGTGGTGGTGGTGGTGGGGATGGTTGGTGGTCGTGGTGGTGGTGGCAGCAATTGTGGTGGTGGTTGGTGGTAGTTGCGGTGGTGGTGGGGATGGTTGGTGGTCGTGGTGGCGGTGGTGGTGGTTGGTGGTGGTGATGATGATCGTCGGCCACGATTACCTGAACGGGTCCTGGGCCTCCCCTAGGTCAACTCGGCCTCAAATGAGTACCTGGTGCGGTGTGTAGTAAAACATCGTCACTGGGGAGACAAAGGCGGCCGGGCGTGGTGCTGGCCACCCACCCCCTCGTGTGCCACCGTGCCGGCCTTGCCAGGTGCTGCTCGCTCACAGCACTTGCCCCAGCAGCCTGCTCCAGGCTACACGGGGGATCTTTGTCTTTGGTGGTGGTGGTGGTGATGGTGATGGTGGTGATGGTGACGAAGATATTCAAGAAACCCTCGGACATTTGTTCGATAATCTGTGGGCAAAGAGAAGAGAGCAACGTTCAGACAGAGACTGCCCGTGCCAGGCTAGGTGCACTACGGGAAGTGTCGGAGGCGCTCGCTGCTTGCAGGAGGAGGTCGTGGAACAGACTCAGCAGCCTGCCTGCCATGGCTCAACTTGACCGAGATGACCGGCAGATCGCGCCACCTCCGTGCGCCTACCACTCACCGTGACATTACTCGCTCCGTTTTATCCACCCGGCGCTCCGCTCGTTGTTGTGAGCGTCGCTCCTCCGACCCTCCGTTGTTGCCGGAGTGGCGACTGCCTCCAGCTGCCCGGTAGCAGCGGCGGCGTCCTTCACGAGCCTCCTCCTCCTCCTCCTCCACACACAGAGAAGCCGATCTCGACACCGCTGGTACCGGTCATCGGCAAGTCCACTCACTCAGCTCCACGTCCTCCTGTACCACATCAGCTCCACCTCTTCTCCAGCCCGTGCCGCGCCCGCTTAGCCACCCCCCCACCTCGATCCGGCAACTAAAACGCAGAAGCTACTTGGGGCATGCGGTGGTTGACGCAGCAGCGTCGCAATGCCAGACGAGCTCACCGATGGGACCGCGTCCAGAACTTTCGAGGATTTTGTGAGCTCCGCGCACGGAAAATCGTGCCTGAAACCCAGGGTGGATCGTAGGCAGGCCGGTCCGAATGGTTCAAACCAGTGCGGATGTTCCATTAGAAGGAGGAGGAGGAGGAGCTGGGTGTGGGTTTGTTCTGCGTTTCGCCAAGCGGAGACTTTGGTCCGAGAAGACCTCCCAGCAAACTCAGCGGAGCCGGGTTCGTGATCGATCCACAGCCCTGTGCGTGTGGGAAACTCCTCGCAGCCATCACCCACTCACGTCCCATTTCGCATAGTCGAGGCAATGGACCGTTTCGGCGGTACAGATATTAAGACGAAGCTCCCTCCTCCCCCCCCACCCCCCTGCAGCTCGCGAGCACACGGAAGTGGGGGAGTGGGCAATAGCGCGATTTGAGGCTGAGTCGACCTAGGGGAGGGCCAGTAACCGGTTCAGGTGAATCGTCACCGGACGTGAGCCGTGAGCGGGGATCACACCAGGCCCACTGGCGTGCCACGATGCCGGTAGCCCTCACAGGTGATGCTGCTGATGCTGCTGCTGCTACTCGCTGACAGCACTCGGCCCCAACGGTCTGTTACAGGCTACACGGGGGAGCTTTGTGTCTGTACACGTGTGTGTGTGTGTGTACATGGTGTGTGTGTGTACATGGTGTGTGTGTATACATGGTGTGTGTGTGTGTGTGTACATGGTGTGTGTGTGTACATGGTGTGTGTGCACGTGTGTGTGTGCACGTGTGTGTGTGCACGTGTGTGTGTGTGTGTACATGGTGTGTGTGTGTACATGGTGTGTGTGTGTGCACGTGTGTGTGTGCACGTGTGTTCACTTGCGTACACCTGGGTGTGTGTGTGTCTGTTCACGTGTGTGTGTGTACATGGTGTGTGTGTGTGTGCACGTGTGTGTGTGCACGTGTGTTCACTTGCGTACACCTGTGTGTGTACACGTGTGTGTGAACACGTGTGTGTGCACGTGTGTTCACTTGCGTACACCTGGGTGTGTGTGTGTCTGTTCACGTGTGTGTGTGTGTGTACATGGTGTGTGTGTGTACATGGTGTGTGTGTGCACGTGTGTGTGTGTGCACGTGTGTTCACTTGCGTACACCTGTGTGTGTGTGTACATGGTGTGTGTGTGTGCACGTGTGTGTGTGCACGTGTATTCACTTGCGTACACCTGTGTGTGTGTACACGTGTGTGTGTGCACGTGTGTGTGTGCACATGGTGTGTGTGTGAACACGTGTGTGTGTGTACACGTGTGTTTGTGCAAGTGTGTGTGTGCAAGTGTGTGTACACGTGTGTGTGTGTGTAGACACGTGTGTGTGTGTACACGTGTATGTGTGTACACATGTATGTGTGTGCACGTGTGTGTGTGTGTGTACACGTGTGTGTGTACACGTGTGTTTGTGCAAGTGTGTGTGTGTACACGTGTGTGTATACACATGTGTGTGTACACGTGTATGTGTGTACACGTGTGTGTGTACGCGTGTGTACACGTGTGTGTTTGTGTGTACGCGTCTGTACACGTGTGTGTGTGTACACGTGTGTGTGTGTACACGTGTGTGTGTCTGTACAAGTGTGTGTGTACACGTGTGTGTGCGCGTGTGTGTGTACACGTGTGTGTCTGTACACGTGTGTGTGTACACGTGTGTGTACACGTGTGTGTACGTGTGCACACGTGTGTGTACACTTGTGTGTGTGTACACGTCTGTGTGTGTGTACACGTGTGTGTCTGTACACGTGTGTGTGTGTACACGTGTGTGTCTGTACACGTGTGTGTGTATACACGTGTGTGCAGGTGTGTGTGTACACGTGTGTGTGTACACGTGTGTGTGTACACGTGTGTGTGTGTGTACACGTCTGTCTGTGTGCACACGTGTGTGTCTGTACACGTGTGTGTATACACGTGTGTGTATACACGTGTGTATACACGTGTGTATACACGTGTGTGTACACGTGTGTGTGTACACGTGTGTGTGTACACGTGTGTGTGTGTGTGTACACGTACCAGGGGTGTGAGCACGCGGCCGTGGGCGCTAGGAGTAGACTGAGGCTCTGTGTGAGGAGAGGGCACACTTATAGTGGGGGAGGGAGGGCACATACCCCTACACTTACACACACACTCACACACTTACACACACACTCACACACACACATACCCATACACTTACACACACACTCACACACTTACACACACACTCACACACACACATACCCCTACACTTACACACACACTCACACACTTACACACACACTCACACACACACATACCCCTACACTTACACACACACTCACACACTTACACACACACTCACACACACACATACCCATACACTTACACACACACACACTTACACACACACACAGACACACTCACACACACATACCCATACACTTGCACACACACTCACTCACACACTTACACACACACACACAGATACACTTACACACACACTCACACACACAGACACACACACACATACCCATACACTTACACACACACTCACACACACACATACCCATACACTTACACACACACACACTTACACACACACACAGACACACTCACACACACATACCCATACACTTGCACACACACACACTCACACACTTACACACACACACAGATACACTTACACACACACTCACACACACAGACACACTCACACACACATACCCATACACTTACACACACACTCACACACACACTTACACACACACTCACACACAGACACACTTACACACACACTCACACACACACTTACACACACACTCACACACACACACTCACACACTTACACACACACTCACACTTACACACACACAGACACACTCACACACATACCCATACACTTACACACACACACTTACACACACACACACAGACACACACACACATACCCATACACTTGCACACACACTTACACACACAGGCACACTTACACACACACTCACACACAGACACACTCACACACACATATCCATACACTTACACACACATTCACACACACTTATACACACACACATATATATACACCCAGACACATACACTTACACACACACACAGACACACTTACACACACACATATATACACACACACCACGTATACACACACATAGACCCATACACTTACACACACACAGACACACTCACACACACTCACATACACTCACACACACATATATACACAAAACAACATAACAACCGCTATTCGCCACTAAGTGGCGGTGACGTCACCACGACGCTTGTGCCAGGCCATGTGCACCTTGAGGCCACGTGAAGTGTCGAACGCCCGCTGGCAGGATGTCACGGGGCAGACCCAGGTGCCACGGGTCGACTGACACAGACACACACTCACACACACAGACCAATACACTTACACACACAAACACACTCACACAGACACCCACACACACACATACCCATACACTCACACACACACACAGACACACTTACACACACACATATACACACACACACATACACACACAGACCCATACACTTACACACACACAGACACACTTACACACACACTCACA